TTCAACGCACACGGTCGTCACATTGTAAAAGAAGTTGCTATACTTTTCATCAAGATTTCACAATACTCCAAACGTAAGAATTTACCTATCAAGTTGTGGTGTAATTATTAAGCAAAATGGCGGATTTGATGACGTATGGTGACATTGACGTATTCAAACAAAATGGCGGATATGATGACTTACTTAAAAATTTCGAAATCAAAAATGACATATGACATGACAGTGACGTTTTCAGTCATTGTCCTTGAATAAGTGAAACACATTTTTTTCTTACAGATTCCGACGCGGCTTCAGGAAGGCCCTTCGGTGGCTGCCGTGTTTCAAATGGGCGCCAGGTGAACGGGTCGATTCTCAACGACCAGCAACTCTGAGCGGCACCTATAGTACCAGTCAGGGGATGAAATTGATGAGAAATGGATCAGAAATGACAACAACGGTCGAAGAATCCATGTTGGAAAACAAGCTTTGAACTATAACAATTGTAATGATCTTTACTTTTTGTCGGAAGAAAGTTCAGTAAACGGTTAACATTCTTTGCCTCGGGCAGCAAACAAGCACGAAGAATACTGGTATATTGACCTCTATAGCAAACAGGACGCATGGAACCGCGCAAAATTTCTCTCCGCGTGCACTAATATGACGTAGTTTCATGAGTAGCACAGTGACTACAGATAGGTCGTTAAAATGTCACTTATATGGTTACTTCGTGAATACTGTATGTTGGTCATAATTACAAATTCTAGTGCCTTTTATGAAAAAATGGCTAACAAAAAAATGATGCTTACATAATTGGATAATGTACTGTATACGTCATTTTTTTATTAAATCTTTATTGTAGGAGGAAAATGTTCGTACATTGCGTATCAAAAATAACATTTTATATAAACATACAAACTATGTCTTCCATTTGTGTCAAACCTATCTACTATGTAGCTCATACTAAAATAACTGTCCACTGGTAACTCGTGTTTTTCGCGGCATTTAATGATTATTATGTGTCCATGACTACGTATTTTGCATATTTACCAATACGATCGGTAAAACATGATCGTTTCGTGTACATGCTAATTGTGAGAACGCTTGTGCGTGAAATTAAAAAAAAAACACTGGCTCGAAAATTCTAATTACTTTGTAATTAAACATTTTAATAGTTGTCATTAAGTGATGTTTACTTTTATGAAGCAGGTTATATTGGTTATTGATATTACGATTGATCTGGCACTTGAATATATCTACATTCACAGATACCACTCAGACATAGAATGGTTGGAATTCCGTCCTCAAGACTCAGGTTAGTTACGATAGCCATATTTAAAGCAGTCACAAAATGTCTTACGTGATCAATGCTTGTAACGTACATTGTTTATTTACAAGAAAAAGAAGGCAATTATACTTCTATCACCTATGCACGTGCGTGATCTAGACGTGGAGGAAAGAATTCATTATGGCTACGTACAAACAATGAATATGCGTCTTAGAATCAGTGGTGTTGTAGTGTGGCATTGATCACGTAATGGTACTAAAACGAATTTAATTTGTAAAATTAGTATACTGGCTAGTCACGTTCGACGTCTGCAAAAAGACTATGGTTTAAACGTTACCATATGCATGATGATATTCAAATGAGGGCAATCATTCTAATACCTGTATGGTATGGTAGATCATTTCAGAATTAAAATTGTATTTCTTGTCTCTTTTGTTTTCATTGTTATTGTCGCAGTATGTACATTCAATCATTTTGATAATTTCAGTGATCCAGACTGGGTGAAAATACCGAACAGTCGGTGTCAGAGATGACATTAAAAAAACACTTTCAATTCATAATTCAAACCAAAAGTTTGACAAAAAGATTGCATACAGTGAAGCGCATTTCACTTGTAGATCTTCCCCGATTTTTATATGTTTTGTCACAGTCGGCGTATCTCCCGGGCCATTACGTCAGGCGAGTACCTCAAGGAAAGATACATCTATTTACATTAATAGAGGTCATTGAGTTGATAGTGCTGTGTGTGTTTGGTCTCTCATCGATATCATACATGAGATGGTGTTCTCGGTTATATTAAAACTATATATACCTTTCAGGCAACTGCTAATACCACGGATTATCGAGACATAATATCGCGAGTCGTTGGACATACATAAAGGGATACTGACGTCTACTTTACGAGATTTATTATGACATTGAATCCGAGTTTGAAACCGTACTGAAATTGCTGACACCGTCTGCGGCGGCTAAAGGAAGGAAGGAAGACAATCTAAGTCGACGTTACGTACATATGGTTTTGGACGTTTGCTAAATATTGAATCAGTATAATGAATGGAGATTTGTGAGGAAGTGCATCATTATTATCAACTTTTTTTGGCTTCAAGATTGTTATTACGATTACGAAACATCACCGGGGAAAATGCGGAATGTCGTTGAAACAGTAAGGCAGTCACCTGTGATTGAGAACATTAACTCTCCGACAAAAAAAACTTGTTGTCAATCAGCAATATTTTACATTATTTACTAGTATTTTAACTTAACTATATCACGTGATATGAATTTTGGATGACTTGCCATATTTGGTCATTGATCACTCCGTGGATACCATTGTGTTATATTCATTAAAATTGGAGTCGTGTAACTTCAGATATTAGGTAAAATATTATTTAGTATATGCAAATGCAAGTAGTTACTACAATCGTGTCAGTTTTTGTTTAGTGAGAGTGCACCAAAGTACGTTTTTTTGGTAATTTTTACATCCTATTATTTTGTTTTAAGCTCATTGACACAATCGACGCAAACATTGAATGAGTACGTGCTTGATTTTTAATTGCAGTCAAATACACGATCTTTTGTTAGAATCACGCAAGCCTTTGTAACATAAAGTTAAATACAACTTTTTTTCAAACATCATGGTATTGTCGGGATTTTGAATTGCGAAAATATACAACGATTCGCAGCGAAATCGTTACAAGAAAGACAGCTGTACAACATTTTCTGTTATTTTTACTCCTGCGAGGCAGGTGTATCGGATTATATATTATGTTGCCCAGCCATCGGTGGTCTGTCATCAAAGTTCAGCATATTTTTAACGTAGAAAATAAAAAAATAATAAAACCCACCACGATAATGATGTACACAGGAGCCGACAATATCACGATGTTTGGTAAAGACAGTATTTATCTTACAATTGACTTTTGACTAGCCTTTTGATATGCACGTCCTCGCTTGATACATAGAAATTATTATATAATTGAAACTACGATCAGTACAGAGCCTCAATGAATAACACATAAAAAATAACTGCATGAGTTTTATATAACTGTAGAGTTACGAATTAAAGCGCGGTAGTCGTCGCGCCACGCATGCGCAAGATATATGGTCTCATATGAACAAAGATGGCGACTTTGGCTGTTGCGCAGATCAACGAATACAAACTGAGACGTTACAAAACATTAATTAGATATTTTTTAAGTTTAGTGATTGGAAGGTATCGAAGTAATCGCCGGCGGTAATTAGTTCAATTCACCCTCAGGTCAAACCTCACACTTGTGATTTCAATGTGCAGAGCGCATTGTATTGTGGGAAAAAGTTTATCAACATATATGTAGCACATGCGCGGCGCGATGACTACCGACCTTTAAATATCCCGTTTATCTCGTAAATCAATTTAGTAGCTTCTAGTTTGAAGCATAAACAAAACGCATTTACAAGGGTAGACAAATTAGAAACGGTACCTCCCGTATATGCAATTATAACACAAATTTGTTTCCCAAGACTACAATAATTAAGTAATATTGTAGTAAACTAATATAAATAAACCGACACCTGCGTATTTTTGATAGTCAGTCATGATGTCAAAAGTTTAATCTGCATGGACAAATCAGATTCATAGTATGAACATATTACATTGCTTCATAGTACATATTATATTGGATAACTGTTATTTTTGCCTTGAATTGAAATTTGTGAGCACGTCCGTCATTCCACCACTTGTAGTCGCCCTCGACGCTGCTTATTGCCAAAACCGCGGGTATGCATCTTCCGCTGAAACACGTTTTGAAAGCATGTAAATTGCATTGTTTACACGGAATTGGAATTTCGTGTAAACAAACAATGTACATTACACGTGTTGTATACGTCGCTATGAGACCCATGTCGAATAGGACGCGACCCGGCGAATGTAGTGAAATGTTTCAGTAACTAATATTAATATTATTACAAATCAGTGACGAATTGTATGTTCATTTTCTGGTTTTAAATTCGTAAAAAGCGTTTTTTTTCCTTGGTGTGTAAATATTCCAGCGTTTTTCATTTCATCATCGTTGACATTTATCTTGCAAACATTTTAATAAAATCTCGAAAATTGTAGTAGGATGTTTTTATTCTTATCAATCATAATACTAAATGATTCATATTGGATTAATTTTAGCTTACAAAAAATATCTAAGTACTGACACTGCTCTAAATAAAGTACAAAATGATCTCCTAATGTCAATGAATGACCAGCACGTTTTGTGCTTTGCTCAATTAAAAAGCGATATTTGAAACTTTTGAACATGATATACTACACTAAAAGTTGTAAAGCATTTCGGTTTCTTTTAATCATTTTTTTTAATGAATGCAGTTCTAGTGCCATGTCTTTGCCATGCTTTGACTAATTATGTTAAACTATTATATTTTCATTATACATATTGTTATACGTATATAGATGTAATCAAAATGGCCGACAGGTGGACAATTTGTTATATATTAATGCTGTTCCAGTCTGAGAACAATATCTCTCAATATCGACAAGTACTCGTTTGACGATCAGATACAAGAAGTCAATCATTTTAATGTTAAAAAAATCATCATGATCAAGCTTCAGCTTCTGAATCCATAACTCTGACATGTTATGTTCCAACGATATTACTATAAACAAAACTATATATCTTAAAGTTGATAACTATTGGAGACTGTGACATGCATGGCGTGTCTATTTATACCTTAAAGGCAATGTACTGTCGCATGTTTCGAAAGCTGTTACGTAATATTAAGTTTACTTTGCCGTCGACTTTAAAAGCTAAACTCAAAATATCGACAACACACAAGACCATTTAATACGTTGAACAGTTTGAACTAGAATCGAATAGTGGGAAATCATGCACTCAATAAAAGAGACAATCGTTTTTTTTCTCTCTCACGCCATCAGATATTGCTGTCGGATTACTTTACCACTTCAGTGATGTGGTTGAATCAAATAACGGGTTTAGAAAAACAAAATACGACCTAGAGTTTTTTATATTTCATTTTCATACTATCATTTTTCTCTCTCAATATGTTGCTCCCCTGATTATCGCGATTTGTCATGGTTGAAACTACTAACCAAATTACTGTATAACTTCTGATCCAATATTGATCACCGGATCAATTCATAATGACAGCGGGGTCGTTAGCAGTATGCGGGTTAGCTCGTCGCAAGTTTGATAACCTTTTCATTC